TCCACAGAACCCAGGACCCCTGTCCCCATAAACCCCAGGACACCCATCCCCACAGAACCCAGGACCCCTGTCCCCACCAAACCCAGGATCCTTGTCCCCAAAGAATCCAGGATACCTGTCCCTATAGAACCCAGAATCCTTGTCCCCTACCAAACCCAGGACCCCCATCCCCACAGCACCCAGGACCCAGTCCCTATAGAACCTAGGACAGTCATCCCCCCAGAGCCTGGGATCCCTGTCCCCACCAAACCCAGGACACTGTCCTTATAGAACCCAGGACACCCATCCCCACCAAACCCAGGACTCCATCCCCACAGGACCCAGTCCCTATAGAACCCAGGACCCCCATCCCCACAGCACCCAGGACCCAGTCCCTATAGAACCCAGGACCCCCATCCCCACCAAACCCAGGACCCAGTCCCTACAGAACCCAGGACACCCATCCCCCCAGAGCCTGGGACCCCAGTTCCCTATAGACCCCAGGATCCCTGTCCCCACCAAACCCAGGGCACTGTCCCTCTAGAACCCAGGACCCCCATCCCCACCAAACCCAGGACCCAGTCCCTATAGAATCCAGGACACCCATCCCTATAGACCCCAGGATCCCTGTCCCCACCAAATCCAGGACCCAGTCCCTATAGAACCCAGGACACCCATCCCCCCAAAACCTGGTACCTCTGTTCCCCATAGAACCCAGGATCCCTGTCCCCATAGCACCCAGCACCCTGTCCCCACCAAACCCAGGACCCCCACCCCATAGCACCCAGGACGTTGTCCCCATAGACCCCAGGACCCCCACCCCATAGCACCCAGGACGTTGTCCCCACAGACCCCAGGACCCCCACCCCATAGCACCCAGGACGTTGCCCCCACGGCCCCCCCAGTCCCTCCCCATCCCCTTGGCCCCACCGTCGGGCGGCCGGCAGGCGTTCTCGTGGCAGACTCGCTCCATGGGGGTGAAGGGTGCGTGGAGCCCGCAGTGGGGACACGTCCAGAAGCTCCGGAGACACTCGCTGTAAAGGTCTGCGTCCGTCTGGAGGGGACACGGGGACGTGAGGAGGGACAACGCGGTGAGGATGGGGTGAAGGGATCCCTCCCCCCCCCCCCCCCCCCCCCACCCTGCTCACCGCCAGGCAGTTGTAGGTGAGGAATTGGGTGACGCGGTGACCGCCCTTGGTTTGGTGGGGTTTCATCTCCATCCCCTGGAAAAGCCCTGGGAGCTGCGGGGTCGCGGTCACCGTTTGGGGTCCGACGTAAAGCGAGCGTTGCTGCAGGGCTGTCAGCTGGCGCAGGCGGTATGGAACCTGGGGGGATGTGGGGAATATGGGCTGGGGGTGTGGGGAGCCGTGGGGTCACCCCAAGACCCCCAAGTCCTCCTCCGAGCCAACGTCAGGTGCTGGGGATGGGTTCCGTCTCCAAGGGAGGATTCCCCAATCGTTTGAGTTGGAAGGGACCCTTCAAGACCTTCTAGCCTGACTTCCCTGCAGTGGATGAGGATGGGCACGACTAGATCAGGTGTGAGAATCCTTGTTTGGTTCTTTTTGGCTCAAAGCTTGCTTCCTGAGGTATTCCTTGTGATAAGAGCCGGATTGATTTGTTGAGGAGGCAGGTGATGGGTGCTACCGTGTGATGACTGCCATCCCTCTGGGAATATTTGAAAGCTCCTTCCTGCAGAGCTGCTTGCCTCTGGAAGGGAGCACTCAGGAGTGCTTATGGAAGACCTGACCTGTGACTAAAGAGCTCCAGCCTGGTATGGGAAAACTGGGCAATGGTACCATCGTATCTCATGAAAAACAGGATGCGGGTGGGCATCCCTGCTCCCTCTGATCTGCTGGCACGGCCCGGAAGGTGGGAAGAAAGGAATTTCTGCTGAGATCCCAGAGCCCCAGAAGCTGCCACTGCAAGGAGAGCTGACTCGACCGCTTGGAGAGCATCGAAAAGGAGCCATCATCACCACGGTCATCGTCGTCGCCATCGTCGTTGTCAACAGAACAACAACAGAGCAATGACCCACCGCTACTGAAGATCAATGGCTGAACTACGAACCTCGCTGGATCCACGGTGCTGACTGTGTCCCTCCTGCTTCCTATCAAAACTCCTTGCTTCTTCTTTCTATCGCCCTCCTTCCCTTCCCCATCACCCCAATTCATAACAGCGCCCGCCCTCCCCTTCCCCATCTCCCCAATTAACATCTGTAACAAACAACGTTATGTAAAAAACAACATCTGTAACAAATGTTGGTCGGACCAACGTTTGAACCGTTGTTTCTTCATCTCACGCCGGGGATACAGAGATGAAAAGAACCTCCTCTCCCTCCTAGAAATCGGAGCCAGGCATCAGGTTGTTCAGATCCCC